CTTTAGGTGCATAGAGGGTCGAGACAAATGGAGATTGAATAGCACCATTTTATTTGGAGAATATGGGTTACACAGGAAGATAACGAGGGATGCCAGAGCCAGTCTTAGGGGAGGAAGTATTGACGGAAGGTCGGGTAGGCGCAGAGTGAGAGCCAGGTAGGACAGCGTGGGCCTACCTCGATGCCTGACATCTGGTGGGAATCTTAAAAACTATGCCCACAGCAGCAACTCTAGTACAAAGTAAGTGAACTAAGTATGTAGACTTACTGTCTACATACTCTCTGGGACTATTCTCGCTGCATACCTTTGTACTTTTTCCAGTTTTTTAACGTGATTTATCAAGTGAGGGTTTGATGCCGGTTCTCTATACGCCAAGATGAGCCTAACGAAAGTCGTTTAAGGGCTGTGAATGACTGTTAAGAATCCTTAAAGCTACCTGGAGGTTATTCCGGGGATCAACGCTCCCGCGGCCCGGTCCATGACCAGACCTCCCTCTCAAATTTGCCAAACAACCACTGGCTGTAGAGGTTATTTGGTTGTGTTCTAGCGATATGCTTGGCACTATGCTCACCCTTAGGTCTTTTCCTTAAGTAAAATTTGCTGTCTTTTAACCCAAAAAAATCCATATTCAAGATTTTCAGGTTTTCTTGCCTTTTGTTCAACTAACATGACCTATTATTTACTGGGGTTGAATTCAAGCAGCCACTTGTCTGACCAGTCTTGCAGCTTGTTCAGGTCTAGTTGTAGCCTTTCCTTGGTCTTATCAGTTTTTTAGTTCTCATTAATTTTTCATCATATACGAACAGGGACATCTTCCCCCTCCTCTCTCTCTCCTCCCTCCCCTTCCCTTGTATGTTATTCACATTCACCAAAATCAGAACTGGTCATCCTACGGAACCTTGTTGAATACCCATTTGTTACACTTCTATGCTGACATCACTTTTCTGACACTGTGAGAGACTGTAGTGGTGAAAGTGACTAGGTCAGTGGTCAGTCAAACTACACTTCAAGGGTAGTTGTATCATCAACACTAGCACCACTACACCTCATCCCGCCACACACAAAGACACACACTCACTCACTCAAGGATATCTCAGGCCTTTCAACTCACTACAAAAAGTTTTCACAGGCGACAGTGAGAAGACTTCACAGGTGAACCAGCATACGAGTGGCTCCATTCTGTGGGAGCGCTCCTCCTCATCACCAGTTTCCCTCCCTAACTAGAAACTGGACACCAGTCCTGACTCACCGACCTACCCTCACTAATTAACTGGTTGGTTTTAAAAACTTGGGATGGAATATGCTGCCACTAGAAAAAATGACAACCGGACATCATTCTTACGATGTACTTGATATCCGGACATCTTCACTACAGCGAGACGAATTCCTCCACTACCCAATACATCAACTACTGTACTTTTCATCCATCCCAAAGTTAAACATGGAATAGGGAATGGCACTGCAGGAGGAAATCAGTCACACTACCACATCTTGAGTCCTCTGGCATGATGATGCAAGACAGCCGGAACTGATACAGTATCACTTGTTCCGGATGTCTTGCCTGTCTTGCAGGCCTACCCTCCCAGGTTGGAAGGATAGCCAAGGGGATTGGAAAGTAATCACCCCATTCTCTTCGTGGGAGGACTGCAGCCAGCACCTTGTGGTAGGGCAATGGGTGGCGACCGGTGCTCTTTCGGCGAGTGGCGATTGGATGACAAGGCGGGTGGTGGGTGAGTGGTTGGGCAGGCGAGGTATGCAGCTGCTGGGGTGGGTACAAGGCGGATAGGTGTTGGGTTGGTGGATGGGAGCAGCAACTGTGGTGGTCACGGGCCAGTGGTGGTGGAGGTAGGGAGGGTGAGCACTGGTGGGCAGTCACTGAGATGACCACAGGGCAGGTGGGTAGTCAGACACGGAGGTGTTCCTCAAGGTGGCAGGTAGTGGTGGCATACTTCCCACCATAAAACTGCTCCTCAGTTCTCACAAGAACCACCAAACCACTGTCCTCCCATACACATTAATATCTCCCTCCCAGAACAGAATTAAAATTAAATTTAAATTTAAATTAAAAACTTAAGGAGTTTACAAGACTGGGAAAGAGTAAACAAATCCAGTTCACTACGTGGCTCTCACATGGCCACGTTTTATTAAGGCTCACCATAACCTCAAGATGGATCGCATCTTACAGCTTTTAGACAAAGAGGATTGTATTGATAAAACGTATCATTTGATGATTGAGACACATGCACAACAGTTGGGAACTTTTATTATTGAAACGCTTCGCCTACACAGTAGGTTTCTTCAGTCACATACAGAGGCAGCAGGTGCAGTAGTGAAATGAAGATAATATAATCAGTTCCATCAGCCTTGGAGAAATAGTATTTGAGGTGGTCAGTCCCTCAGCCTGGACAAGAGTTCAGCTCCAATTGTCTTAATCAACAACTTGTCAGTATTTTATATAATTTTCAACACAAAATGTATTTTTTGCTGTTGCCATATCATTCTGCACTCTGCCATTTAAGTTGCCTGCAAGTCTCTTCACTCTCCCAGAAACTGTCGCATCTAAGACAACGACTCACAATGAAAGTCTTCCACCAAACAGAATCATAACACTGATTATAAAATTTATGACTATTCATGTGGCAACATAAATTACCAAGTAACTGCAGCTTTCCAAATGGCTTCCAATAATTAGCTCATGGTTGCAAACGCCCGCTTTTTAATGAGCAGTGTAAATTGGGTCCGTTTATCTGATTCAATTGAGAATCACCGCTGATCCAGCACTTGTTATGAAGGGATATGAGAGATGCCTTCACCTCCTGGTACAGCCTTTTGCGACACTCTCCACGTAATCACTTTCTATAACAGGTAAATTGCACTGGGAAAATATATATAAAAACGTATAGGGGAATCCAATAATTTATTATACTAATAACGAAATTGTGGAGAAAGTACCACTTATCCAAGTTTACTGGGAGGTGGAGGTTATATCAGTTATCTGATATAACCCCCAGTATTAATGGATTACAGATTTTACTGGCTAAAGTGCCTCGTCGAGGTTGGAACAACTTTACACACACACACACACACACAGGGCCAGGAACTGAGTCTCGACCCCTGCAACCACAATCAGGTGAGTACAATTAGTGAGTAAAACACACACACACACACACACACACACACACACACACAGGCCAGGACTGAGTCCGACCCTGCAACACAATCAGGTGAGACAATTGGTACACACACACACACACACACACACACACACACACACACACACACACACACACAACACCAGACAGGACTAAGGATCAGTGGTGCCTCCTTCGTTCTGCTTTATGACGAAACTTTAATCATCTATCTCTCCCGTCTTCTCTCTTCCTCCTCCCTCTCTCCCGTCTCCCCCTCCTCTGCTCCTAAAATTTGTTGGTGCTTCAGTAAGACAGGAGAGAACCTGTGTGTGTGTGTGTGTGTGTGTGTGTGTGTGTGTGTGTGTGTGTGTGTGTGTGTGTGTGTGTGTGTGTGTGTGTGTGTGTGTGTGTTTGTGTACGTGAGTAGACGTATGTACATGTATTTGTGTGTACGTTAGAGTAGCCTGTGTGGCTAGACTGGTATCAAGAATAACAGACATAATACATGGCTGGAACTCACAAATAACCCTCGATTACGAGAGGAAACTTATGGTTAATGCAGAAGTAAATAAAGCTTCTGACTGTTACAGGAATACAGTTACAAGCTTGAGTAGATCTATAACACGTTATGATAACATGAACGCAGATAAGCACATTTAAAGCTAGGCTGACTGATGTTGCAGCTAGGCTGACTGATGTTGCAGCTAGGCTGACTGATGTTGCAGCTAGGCTGACTGATGTTGCAGCTAGGCTGACTGATGTTGCAGCTAGGCTGACTGATGTTGCAGCTAGGCTGACTGATGTTGCAGCTAGGCTGACTGATGTTGCAGCTAGGCTGACTGATGTTGCAGCTAGGCTGACTGATGTTGCAGCTGGCTGACTGATGTTGCAGCTAGGCTGACTGATGTTGCAGCTAGGCTGACTGATGTTGCAGCTAGGCTGACTGATGTTACAGCTAGGCTGACTGATGTTGCAGCTAGGCTGACTGATGTTGCAGCTAGGCTGACTGATGTTGCAGATAGGCTCAGACTTACATCTTAAATTTACTTGTAACAGATGAAATATAAATTGTAAATATAAAAAGTTAACTTTCCGTTAGCCTTTTTTTGGGGGCCTAGTTCCTGGGTCTTTTCCATATCCAAATGCTCTTGCTCTACCTTCCACAAGTACCCGGACTCGATAGATAACTGTACCAGGTAACCAGGTATGCAAATACGCTGCACAACTTCGGGTACGTGAATTCCAATAGCAGTCTCCCAATCCGGGTTCGCTTCTTCAGGTTCACTGGTCACAAGTGCGAAAAAAATATATATCTTCGTTATGCAATCCATAGCCATCCTATGGGCGGTAGTCGAAAGATTAGAGAGACACATAATGGGTCCAGGGACTGGTTCCCAGTACGACATAAACAAATCACAACCAAGTTTAGTAATAAATTTAAGTACCTGAGCATAAGGAGCATCTCAGCGGTACTAGCGGTACCCAGCGTTCCTCGACTAACCTAACATAACACTAGAGCCACATGTGCAACATTTATTCCGTAACGTTTCGCCTACACAGCAGGCTTCTTCAGTTGAGTACAGAGGAAGCAGTAGAGATGTAAGGACGATATAGTTAGTCCATCACCCTTGAAGAAGTAGTTTTGAGGTGGTCAGTCCCTAGTCATGAACAATGTTCCAGACTACGAAGCAGAACTCTTCTCCAGGCTGAGGGACTGACCACCTCAGAACTACGTCTTCAAGGGTGATAGACTGATTACATCGTCTTTACATCTCTACTGCTTCCTCCGTACTTGACTGAAGAAACCTATTGCGTAGGCGAAACGCTTCGGAATAAAGATACTTAACTGTTGCATATGCGTTGCACTAG